TAGTTAAATTACTTTTAACTTTCTTAGTAAAGCAGTGGTCTAAGCTGTTGTCTTCCAGAAAGAGTCACAGGTTTATATTCAGTCACCAGCTTCATCAACCAAATATGAAAAACCAGTAAGAAAAATGGATGGATGAACTTCTAGGAGCCCAGACACCAGAGTTCTTTAAATTATTATAGTTTGTGTCATGTAAACCTTTTAGAAAGGTCTTTAAGGTGGTTTTTTTAAAAGTGGTCAAATGCATTGCATGCATGACTTTTTGGATCGAATTATATATTTTTTTAAAGTTTGTTGACAATATTGCAAAAACAACTAGCCACAACTGAACAAGGAAAAACTCCTAGATAGCTGAAAATATTTGATCCTTACCTTCTGATAACTAAAAGAATTTCTAAAATTGGCTTCCACAATGAAGAATGTAGGCGTGTCTGTTGGGACCATATATCTTTTTTTCTGCAGACACAAGGACCCAGCATCCTCTGTGCTGCTCAGACTGCAGTTTCTGTTCCAGGATCTTCATCCAAACAAGAGTTCTGAGCTCATTTCTGATTGTGAGAAATCAACATGAATCTCTGTTTTACAGTGGCTGCTCTGCTTATAGCAGCTTGTCTGTTTGTGCCCTCTATACATGGTAAGTTGGATTTCTCTTCTTCCATATGTTTCATTATGTTTTTGTTTATATTTTTGTTTGTTTAACCAATGTAGAAATGTGATAACTTTAAGAATGTTAAGCCCACTTTTCTCTAAAACCATGCCCAATAGACTTTGATACTGAGCTGCTTGCACATCCATGTAACTATGACTTTTAATGCCCTGGAGATGAAAAATGCTGTCACTTTGATTTTGGATCCTATACTGCATCCATCTAAAATCAAAGGTATTATTTATCAAAAACTGTTTTTAGTTATATCAAGCTTGGATTGATGAACGTAAAGGGGAATATTTTTATGAAAACAAAAAAAGTGTAAAATAATCCAAAAATTTATAGCATGAAAATTTTTTCTTATTTTTTCTAATTAATAACCTGCTACTAAAGCCATGTGAATATTTTAACTACATATTTTAAATTCATTTTAAATATTTATGCACATAATCTTGTTTAAGGATAAAAAAGTAAAACCAAAACAAAATAAATTGAGGGGCAAACTGAGGCAAACAGCTGCTGACACTAATTAAACCTCTCTCTATCTGAAAGCCAGGTAACCACACCTACAGTATTACCGCTGGCACTACACTGCCATCTTCTGTGCAAACGATGTACAGGAACTACTAAATTAAATCCCTTACTCACTGAAAACAATAAAAGAAAACAGAAAATTTTATGCAACATATCACAGTAAAACAAAGCAAAAAAATGAATAAAAACTTTTTGATTTACTGAATAAACCTAAATTTACAGGACTTAATCCAAACATCACGGACAAAATTAAAAAACTTTATTGAGATTTAGTGTAAAACTTTGGCAAGTGATCTCAATAAGTGAGACTTTTTTCTGAACGTTTCATTAAACTTTAAAGTTATTCATGAGAAATTTTGCTAAACAGACAGTCTACCTTCAATAGTGGACAATTAAAATGAACAATTCTCACGTCTCATTTGTCTGAGTTTTGGTTTGTGAGCTTTTTGCAGAAATTACGCTCTCTCTCATTACCTCTCAGATTTTTGCTAAAACCAGGTCAACATCCAAAGCACTCTAAATATTTTTCTCCTTTAAAACCATGTCAGTATGACACAAACTGCCCTGGAGCTGACAAATGTTGTTTGCTTGATTACATATCTGGTTGTGCTCCTCCTATTCAAAGGGAGAGACACAATAAATAACAAAGTTTGTAATAAAGATTGTGTTCAATCTATTTAAATTAAAATGATAAAGCAATTAGAGTTTCTATCAAAGCTCATATTTGTCTGACTTCACAAATAATTGTTTTCTCATTTTCCTCAGCAATTCCTCCTGACTGTCCATATCCTCCAGGGCGTTGTTTTCCGTGCGGCATCTTCAACCCATGCAAACCTCGTAGATGCTGCCGCAATGGATGTGGTGATTACAGATGCATACCACCATTTCCAGGTGAGAATAAATAAAGTGGCAAAAAACTTCACTTACTCTCCTAATAATGCGTACATAAACAGGTTAAATGTTTGTTTTGGTTTTATTTATTTATTTATGTATTTATTTTTCTTTTCAGCTTAGCACAAACTTTGTGGAAAACATCTGTTCATTCCTCACTGTCATGATGATAATGATGGTGAATGCAGCTGCAAGAAGTGCTCTCTAAACAGATGTGAAGACACCTCTACATACAGTCCTGTATGCTCTTCTTTGGTTTCTTTAATAAAATCATAATGACACAAACTCAGTGTATTGTTTATGTGAGCTTCTGCTTTGGTACATTTTCTTTAGGATGCCAATTTGTCAAACTATGTTTCAAAGGTGTTTTGGTATTTTTACCATTTAATAACAGAATCACAATCACTTGAATGTCATCACATCAACAAATCATTCATAGTGATCTACAAATGCATACTGTGAGTTTTGGTTCTCTGTTCTGCATGTATGCAACAAATGCAGATGGCATTTTTGTTGTTATCAATAAAAATAATTAAAATTGTCAGGAGTCTTTGAACAACTTTCATTTGATTTATTTTAGTTGTGCTGTACAGGGAGCTGGACACAGACCACGTTAAACTAATACATTTATCAAAAAAGCCTTTAGCTTAAGTTAAGTTCATGTTGATATGAAGTCTGGGTGTAAGACTCAGTTTCAGTACTGTGTAGTTTGATACAAATTACTGGTAATTAAAAGTCCAAATGTGAGAAATTTGTAAACGTTGTTTCCTTCTTCATCACTTTACCATGAATTATAGAATTCAATTCAATTCAATTTCAATTCACTTCAATTCAATTCAGTTTATTTATATAGCGCCAAGTCACAACATACGCTGTCTCAGGGCACTGTACATAAAAAGAACAATCTAAAGAAGAAACCAGCAGGCTGCGTTGAATCACCTAATCATAGTCTCCCATCCTGAGCAAACGGTGGAGAGGAAAAACTCCCTGCAAATCAGGAAGAAACCTCCAGCAGAACCATGCTCAGGGCAGGCGGCCTTCTGCCTTGGGGGACAGGAAAGAGACACAGGTAAACACAGAAGAACTGGTCCAGGTGCACCTACTTCTGGAAAAGAGACAAAGAAAAAATGTGTTATAGATAGAAATAATTACAGTGAACATGTAGAGAAGAGAGACTAAAGACAACAGCAGAGTGAAGAAATGTGCTCAGTTTATGCTCCAGCAGTCTAAGTCTATAGCAGCAGAAATGAAGAATTCAGGAAACCTAAGTCTAACTATAAGATTTATCAAAAAAGGAAAGTCTTCAGTCTAATCTTAAAAGTAGACAGAGTGTCAGCCTCATGGACAGAAACTGGACGTTGGTTCCACAAGAGAGGAGCTTGATAACTGAAAACCTGCCTCCCATTCCACTTTTAGAAACTCGAGGAACCACAAGTAAACCTGCAGTCTGAGAGAGAAATGCCCTGTTAGGAAAGTATGGAACAATAAAATCTTTAATATATGATGGAGCTTGGTTGTTAAGAGCTTTGTATGTTAGGAGTAATATTTTAAATTCTATTCTGAATTTGACAGGGAGCCAGTGGAGTGAAGCTAAAACTGGAGAAATATGATCTCTCCTTCCAACTCTCATTAAAACTCTAGCAGCAGCTTTTTGAATCAACTGAAGACTTCTCAAAGAGTTTTTTTGGATGCCCAGATAATAAAGAATTACAGTAATCCAGTCTAGATGTGATAAATGCATGAATCAGTTTTTCTGCATCCTTTTTGGACAAAATGTTTCTAATTTTTGTGATATTACGCAGGTGGAAGAAGGCGGTCCTGGTAACATTTTTAATGTGGGGGTTAAAAGACATATCCTGATCATATCCTGATGGAGCATTCTAGTAGAATGCTCCATTTTACCAGTCAGAATAACAACATAATCAGGTGATGATGAGCACTTCACATTCTAGTTGATTTTGCTGCTTGGGTCCAAAATGACTGACAAAAAGCAGAATTTACCAGTGCCCCAGCACGCAGAGGCAATTCAAGGATGTTTCACATACATGATACAGTGGGGTGCGAAAGTTTGGGCAGCCTTGTTAATTTTCCTGATATACCTTTATAAATCATTGATTGGATTTAAAAAATCAGTTTAATATATCATATAGGGGACAAACACAGTGATATTTGAGAAGTGAAATGAAGTTTATATGATTTACAGAAAGTGTTCAATAATTGGTTGAACACATTAGGCAGGTGCATAAATTTGGGCACTGCTGTCATATTATTGATTTCAAATAATTTAAACCTAATTATTGAAACTCAAATTTGGTTTGGTAAGTTCAGTGACCCTTGACCTCTGGGGCGGCTGTGGCGGAGTGGTTAGGGGAGTCGTCCTGGAACCAGAAGGTCACTGGTTCGATCCCCCGTCCAGCCGTCTCAGWCSTTGYGTCCTTGGGCAAGACACTTCACCCACCTTGCCTACTGATGGTGGCGCCGATGCATGGCAGCCCCACCTCTGTCAGTGTGCCCCAGGGCAGCTGTGGCTACAGTGTAGTTTGCCATCATCAGTGTGTGAATGTGAGTGTGAATGGGTGAATGTCTGTTAGTGTAAAGCGCTTTGGGGGTCCGGAGGGACTTGAAAAGCGCTCTATAAGTTCAGTACCATTTACCATTTACACAGGTGACTCCAATTATGAGAAAGGGTATTTAAGGGAGGCAATTGTAAGTTTTTATCCCGTTTGCATTGTCTTACAGTGTCTCGGAAAAATAACTTATCCTCTGAAGTCCCACATACTTCTCAGGTCGAGTCAGTGACCTCTTTTGGTAGCCTTAAAATATCATCGTGTTTTATGATTTTACTCTTTATCCTGTTTTGGTAAATGGTAAATGGTACTGAACTTATAGAGCGCTTTTCAAGACCCTCTGGACCCCAAAGCGCTTTACACTAACAGACATTCACCCATTCACACTCACATTCACACACTGATGATGGCAAACTACACTGTAGCCACAGCTGCCCTGGGGCATTCTGACAGAGTTTTCTCTCAGATAAAGTGTTTCACAACCAGGACAATAAGTGTTTAGAAGTAATCATTCTTGTTGCTGTTTATCAAACATCTTTCTCTCCTTGGCCCAGCTTCAGCATAACGAGAGATGTTTATTGTCTGTCTGGATAACATACTGTATAAATGTGTGTATTTGAGATTGCCTCATTGCATACATTTTGTACCACTGCCCTGTGTGACATGATGTGTGTCTGCAATTGCAATAAATCCTGATTGACCATTTCACAGAGTACTTTTTTACTTTTGTTCTTGGATCACGTGTTTCTATCTTAGGTAAATAAAGATATCTATGATAACAGTTTAGCCAAAACCACTCTCAGCTCATCCCTCACTGTCATAATAATGATGGTGAATGTAGCTGTAAGAAGCAGCGCTTTCTAAATCAGATGTGAAAACACCTGTAAACAATCCCTTTGTTTTCTTAAAAACACCAACTGAGCTGCCTCATATAGTCGAGTGTGCTCTTCTTTGGTTTCTTTAATAAAGTCACTGATAAAAATTGTGTATTGTTTATTTGTGTTTCTGCTTCTTTACCTTGAATGTATGTGATGCCAGTTTGTCAAACTATCTTTCAAATGTGTTTTGGTATTTTTACATTTATTAACAGAATCATCTGAACGCTGTTACATTTTCTAAATCATTCAGAGTGCCTTACAATTATATACTGTGGGTTTTGGTTTTCATTTCCTCATGTTTGCAGCAGTGGTGTGCCGTCAGGGCCAGCAAAGCCTTCTCTGCTGGCCTAAACACAATCAGAATCACTACATTTTAGAATATTTTACATTTATTATAATGGTTATTAATATTATTATTTATTTAGTCTTCGTGTCATAGTTTTTCTCCTGGCTGAGCAGCGTCCAGCAGCTTGTATTTATTTAGAGCTTTTATCCAATCATATTTCGATCATCATCTGTTGCTAGGGTCCAGAAATCTGCCTCAGGCCTTCAGAACGAACAGCGAAGGCACCTGGAGGGTGTAACACGCAGAAAGACTGTTGCTTTGACCAATCAGATGCTGAGGTGAAGACCTCAGAGCCTGCTAGCTGGACTCAGACAGCGTCAACATTTTCTCATCGTTTCGTTGGTTGATCAGAGAGCAGGAGTCAGAACCGGGAAAATAGGTTTCTGTAGCATCTTACAAGCGTCTTACAAGCTAAATGCTGAGCAGACATTCTCAACGTTACAGGAAATTAAAATGTATAACAAAAGTACAGAACAGAACAGACTGGACTTTCAGTGTTAGCTATTCATGGTGGTGATAGAAAATGATTTGTTGTTGAAAAGGAAATGGGAGGACCTGTATGACAGAGTAGCTGGATCAGTTTCTCTCTCCACAGTTCTTATATTTCTCTCCTTCCTTTCTTCTTTACTGTCAGTTTTGTTTTCTACTGAAGTGGCCAAAAAAAGGATATAAAATCATGAAAAAATGAATGGAAGTCAATGGATGGGCCCCACAAGGATATAAAAAACAAGGTTTTGTGTGTGTGTGTGTGTGTGTGTGTGTGTGTGTGTGTGTGTGTGTGTGTGTGTGTGTGTGTGTGT